TAATGAAAAGGACGATAGTAATGAAGTTGATGGTGAAGGTGATAAAGAAGAAAATGAAGACGAAAAGAAAGGAGTAGCTGAAGGGAGTGATATTTCCGGTAAGGTTACCGAAGAAAATCTAGTTGAAGGCCGTCATGGAGATAGTAGTAATGAACCAGAAGATAGTGAAGGGGATCGTCATAAGGAAGTTTCTGAAAGTCAAAATCAACAGGAGACTCAGGAAAATGAGAAACCTTCTGATGACAACAGTAATACGGAAGCTTCTATTACTGACGCGATTAGCTCCGATGTAGTTGCCTCACAAAAATTCGTTGACGAGAAACAGGATAACGCGGAAGATGCTGCTTCCTCTCGCTCTCCAGAATCTGGCGATAATTCTACGAAAGGCGAGGTTAGCTAGTGTTTGTTGTATGAAAGTTGATACATTTTGGCATTTAGCTTTTATAGTTTTGTAATTTTGGCTGATTATCTACGTTAATTAATTTAACCGTTACTCAGTCCCCACCTCCAATGCCTGAAAAAGAAGTTAAGGAAGCATCATTATTTGATGATGAGGACCAAGACTTGGACTGGATGAGTTAAAAAGCAAAATTTATTTGTAATATGATATATTGTAATGTGATCTTTTCTTCCATAAGTATTTGAATATTATGCAGGTAGGATATTCCTTAACCTGATGATCTATAATACGCGTACAGTAGTTGCTATAATACATGTAGTTTGCCTTACGTTATTACTCTGTTACAAGTGTTTTGTTTCTACGTACAAAATATCTCAATTTTACTATCGATTATCACCACTTTTTATGTGAAAGAAACAATAGTGAAATACGAAAGTACCTTTTATTCTATTTTTTATACAGTAAGATTTAGACATTTTATATAGAACCTTTATTAGCAAGAGTACCAGCACGATTGAGTACTAGTAGTAATTGTTACAATTTCAATATTCATGTAGAGTTTTAGTATTTAAATTTTCCTAGTACAAGTTTATTAATTCAAATTGAAATTATTAGATGCGATACGTAAAGATTCAGCGATAATTAATTTGCATCTGGCAGTTTCTACAATTATCATGAAAATATCCAATAAAAAATTCAAGTCAATTCTTGATTGTTCATTCAAGCTGACATGACTTGCGTTCTAATCGATCATTATTATGCATAGACACTGTGGAATATACTCGTATAGTAGTCCATGATACATTGATACAGTGTCTAATAGTAATGTACATATCCGTATTAAATTAATATAGGGTAATTAATAAAGTATAGTAGAAGCGTAGATGATATATACCGTAGTGTAGAATAAGTAGTAAGATGCATGCAAATGGTAGAAACTTTGTAGTCAAGATGATAGATGTAGGAATATCATATGCAGATTCATGTACGCTGTTAAAAGATTCAAGCAGTAATCAATTTTACCATGATAACATATACGTTGCTACATCCAGTAACTGAGGTATTAAGAAACATTGAATTGGTAGCTTCTGATAATCCGTAGCATAATGTTTACAAAGTCAATGGCGTATGCGATCACTGAGATATAAGCAGGCATTAAAACTAATCGATTGTATGGTATAGTATTATAGTAGTCCATAGGGACATTAGACTAATGGATTCTAATAGTCTATGACTTTATGATTGGACTCTAGTATTAGTATTTTCTAGGTGGCCGAACTATTCTTAAAAAAAATACTGGAGCCATTTCTACCTTTGGCATACTGTACTACTAGACCAACTAAAGAGAAATCCTGAGGTGGTTTTGTCAGTATCGCGTGTAACACGTTCAGTTTTACTTGTTTGGGAATTGGTTTTAACTGAATTATCGCCACTATTACATGCTTTTCCTACACAATTTTATAGTACCGTATGTTATACAATCAAAGTCTGCTAATTGTGTTAAACATTGGCAAAGACTTGTTCGAGACATTTCCTCTTAGCATTGTTTAGTTCAGGAGGCGAAACGAAATTTGAGCTCGCTGAAATCTCAAATGATGACAGTTCACTTTGAACACGCAACTAAAACACGAAATGATAGAGATTGCCAATTACTATTTATTGGCCAAAATTGAGAATCAGATCATTTGCTAGTCAATGTAACATCTTAAAATTATGCACTGTACTGTTCTCAGATTCGCTTCAAAGCTAGCAAGTTGGTTACGCATAATGACAGAAAAAGTCCTTGCTTTCATTTACTGTTCGTACAAAAGGAGGCGGTAGCATACCATACCGTATCATGCCATTTTTTTGGACCCGTATGACTACTGTACTGTACCGTCTGTACGTACGTCAGTCTACTGAGTGTAGGTGAGTATATGACTGAGACTTTGGAGAAGAATAGATAGAGTATTTGTCTGCTAAGTTTCTGACTGAATCACGTACTGTACAGTATTGTATACTAGACCATATGAGTATAGCAAAGGTTGTTTGAATCATTGGTTACCCCCTCTCAACTGAGATGTCCACTATTACACACCGATACTATTGAACAATTTTGTCAATGAAGGAACTTTTAGTACTCGTGCAAGACGAATTTACGCAACGTCCAATAGATATTCTAATAAATTCGGCCATTTGTTTTTGACGGACTGGAATATGCGCCACGTCCAGTACTGTACTGTACTGTGACGTCGTACAGTATACTCGTATGGTCTCTGTACTGTACACTGTACACTGTACACTCAATGGGAGTGACTTTGAATTCATTCATACGCACAGTCTGGCTCAATCACAAATGGACACGTAGCGAACTGACAGTAAAATAAACAGGGAATATTGACTGACCTATGACCGATTTCGTCAATGGAAATATTAGTACATAACTTATTACCAGGATTCATTAGTCATTGTTAGATGGAATTTCTAAATTTATGACTACCTTTTGTCAAGTAAAATTACCTATTCACAATGTGCAGCACCATAGGCAAAGAAAAAAAAAAAAATCAATCAATCAATAATAAGTACAGTACAGTACTGTACTGACGTCAAGTCATTTGACACAACTACAGTACAGTATGACTGAAATTGACCATCGCTCTCAGTACAATACACTCCAGTTAGCCCTAAATGGACGTCTCTCCTACAGTACAGTGTACTGTACACCGATGCATTTTCTAGTATGGACTGGACGCCTACAGTACAGTACAGTGTAAACTACCGACAGTACTGAGTACTCAGTGAGTACTGTAGGTAGAGTACTGCACTGTAGGACAAAGAATAATAGACAGACTACTACTTAGAATCTGTAGCGATTGTGTGACGTAGAAAATAATTTTTTTCTTCGACATTTTTTCATTGCCAATTTCACTGCAGTCAATGTCAAGTTATTAGTCCATTTTTTTCAATATCAATGCTGACTAATCACTACAGTTGGAGTATTCTACTATTGGGCAAGACATTGTCAATAATTTTATCCTCATTTTGTACTATGTAGTAACTGAATTGGTTATAGTTTAAAGGAGGTTGAAGGAATTGCATATTACCAACTTGGTGCCAACTTGGGATCAATCAACTGGCATGGACAATATGAAATTCTTTTTCTTTTACCTACTTATCCTCGTCCTCCGTCTACATGCAGGAAGGTAATAGCGGCGGTATTTTTTGTATCTGTTTTTACTAAGACTAGATTCGCCTTTATGTTAATTCTGGACTATTAGTAGGCAATTGCGCTGGCAGTGATAGGCTGATAGCTACATTTTACGTTGTGTTATTTTCTTTTTGTCTCGGTGAAATGATAGCGTAGAGTGGTTGTATTGCAATGTTACATTTATCTTCTATGCGATTCATTTTCTCAACTTATAGTATCTTTCAATCAATGATTTTAACCTGATGGATCGCATCTTTTTTGACTAGGTGCGATAATGATAATGATATGAATGCTAACGCTGAGCAAATTGGAGCTTCTAGGATACAAAATAATCTGCAAGGCTACAATTCCAATTCGGTAAATTAAAAAACATGCTACGAGTCTACAACCACTGGTACCACTACTATACATCAGTATGGAATCCACACTCTATTGGAATACTGTACTTCCATGTCTGCGGTAGTGCTGGAACTTTCTTCCATCACTATACAGGAAATAATAATATGATGCTGTAATACCTCACTTGTCTGCAATAAGACCCAATCTTTCAACTCTATGCTCTAAATTCATCATTTCGTATCGATTGCATTGTTGGCTCAGAATACTTTGGAAATTTCCGTTGCGGACAATAGCTCAACTTTTGTCTGTTAGTAGTTAATTAATTATTTGCATGTTAGGAAGTATTCTTCACCGCATTTTTCTTTCTTGTCAGCCAGTAGTAAATTGTACATATATTATTTGTTCATCACAGTGCTATTCAGCATCGTTTGTGAGATGTTTGATGGAGAATTTTCTTTTCATAACCGTAACATTTAAAATAGTTACAAGTTTACGCCTACTAGTGCTGTACTATGGCTACTGTTATAAATTGAAGTTGATGGTTAGGAGTCTTCAGTTGGAAATACCCATTCAAAATCGATATCGACACTTGCTGAAACGAAAAGCTGATAATTATGATTAACAGATATGTGTACCGTTAGATGTCTACGTTGTCATATCGTAGAATCGTCGCCGAAAATGTGCAGCGCATGCAAAAGAGTTTACTACGTAGAGTATACGGTATTCTTTCAAGTCAGCATAAATGCTACTGCAGGCAGTACTGTATGTAGGATTTGTTTGAGGATACCTCTACTGTAATCCTAACCACTTACAAATGTACAATTCCATAGGTTCTAATAGCAACACATGTAGTATTATTCCTATCAATTTCGTTTTAGCGATAGTGAAGATTGAAATGTCTAATGAATTAAATATCGCCAGTAGATACGTACTGTACTGTACAGTAGAGAAAGAGATGCAAGGAAAATTTTAGCCGTATTTCGAGATAGTGATTTTACTTGAATTACTAGCATATTGCTGTTGTAGGCATTCAGACTTTCCAGTGTGCCTACCCGTTCAAAATTTGCGGTACCTTGAATTAAGACATTGAATTGAATCACTGAATTCATCAATTCAATGACTAATTCAAATCAGCATTGAAATTGAATTAAGTTATGTTAAAATGAAAGAAGTTGATTTGAATTGAATCTAAATGTGCAAATTTTTCAGTGCCTTGAATATCATTGAATTCAATGACTGATTTAAAGCTGAGTTATGTTCAAATATATACGAATGTGTATGCCACGGTCTATGTTGATGTATACAGTACGACGTTCAGTATATTTATAATGCACAGTGACAGGCTATAGCAGCGACTACTGTACTTAATGGAGGGAGGGGGGGGGGATTGACAGAATTTGAATTGATTAACTGTAAATTGAAGTGACTCTGGATTAAAAAGAAGTGATTTACAAAGATGGAAACTACACAAAATTGAATTACATGAATAGAGGTGAAAATAAAACTAGTTAGAATCACTTGGAATCGAATGGGTAAGCCCAAAAGTTCAATTTTGAAAGGGTAGCTGTGTGCACACCTTTGTACAGTAATTGTGTTAGATTATTCACAGAATTGTATCAGCAAGATTAATGGAGCCCTATGCATGCTTGCCTTTTGAGCACTATTTATGAAAGAATAACAGACGAATACGAATAAATTTATAACTACCCTATCCTTTTGATGTTCAACAGTTAATTATCTTTTTCTTTATTTGTAGATTAATTTACATTTGAATCTGCAATTATGATTTAGCAATACTCAGTCTTTTATGCATTTCATTCACAATTTTTTAACACCGTTGAATAAATCACGTCACGTACAATTTTTGTAACACTAGTGATTTTACAACATTTTTGAATACTGTAATGTTGCAAGATTATTTTATTGTGTAAAAGATGCGCTTATAAATAATATTATTATTAAATAGAGGTATGGGACAGGATATTTCTGTACTGTGATCTTACCCTTGCGTGTAATTTCTCAATTTCTTCCCTTTTAAAGCTTTTTAACTAGTCCTACGAAATACTGACACCGTTACTGACTAATGTTCTTGTCCTATTTGTAAAATGTGTTTACTGTCAACTTGATAATAATACTTATTATAGAGGAGATATTTAATTTATTTCAAGTAATTAGCTTACAGTAAACCACTATTATTACTATTCAACATCTACGTATATCACTGAATACGGAGAAGAGGCTTTGCAACTTGGATCAAAGTTTAACAATTTCAATTTTTTATTCAATTTGCGGACAGAACGATGTATCTTATGATGACGGAACGACTTCATCAATTGGAGCCTCAGACGATAATTCCGGTCATAGCCAGTCCGATGAGCAAATCATTCATAATGATGACAAACAACTCGATGAAGATGAAAATGGGGAAGCTTCACATCAGAATTTGAACCTAGACGTTAAACAATCGCTAGAGTAAGTTTCTAGCTTTTAGTAAATTAATCTATACTGCAGCACATGACATTATAGCTAAAATGAAACTTTTATTATTACAACCGTACCCAGGTCGTTAAATTCACTCACGAATCGTAATTTGTATGAGTTGTTGTATGGTGTATAGTATATATGGATTTTACTGAACTTTCCTGGTGTAAACCTTGCAGTATATGTTGTCGGATTGATATGCTTTAAGACGTAGTCGTAATCCTCAGGAATGATAATTATTGTTAAGATCTCTCTGTTTTATTAAATTGTTGTACCTTAAAGCGTAGTTGGAATCCCCATAAATGATAATGTTTAAAGGTCTCCCTGAAATGTTTTCAAACTTTCTATGATCAAGGATCTATTTACCCCTAGTTGTGATACTAATCTTTTATTGAAGTAGTTTATTAAATGATAGATTATTCATCTTTCAGCCTTAGAATTAAACAAAGTTATACTGTATAAGGAGATATAAGTTGATTTATAGAAGCCAAAAGTACTGTAATATACTGTAATACTAATATCATAATAGCAAGCAGAGTCCCGTTGACTCTAGCATTTATATATGATTCATTTTTTATCATGCAGTGATAGGCAAGGATACTTTACTCACTAATATGTTACATAAAATGTGTTCTTGAAGGTTATATTCAATCATTGTAATTTATAAATCTAATTTTATAGCGTCGAGCTAAATGAAGCAGTCGATGATATAAAGAAAGATACTGATAAATTACCGGTAGTCCCGCAAAATATGGTAAAGAATGAACAAACTACTGAAATCGATGTTGATAACATGAAGGCCAAAATAACTACGGAAAAGGAGGAAGATACAGCTATGCCATCCTTTGAAGAATGGAAAAAGAAACAGTTTGAAGATAGCATGAAGCGAGGTAGGCTAAAGTCTAAGTGTCATGCTTTCATTGAAATATGCATAGTATTTTGGTTATGTTATAGAGAGGTCATTTTAATAATTCGTTATACAATTGCATGAAATATCAGTAAGACATATTATATTGGTTTTCATTTCTTTATGCAGGGCATCACAATTCTATATCAGCTAGTAACAATTTACCTCGTAAAAACAGACAACCGTCTCAAAATAACTACGCTTCTTCTAGTTGTGGGGCAAAGATTGTTGAATCGAACTCTGAAGCTAAAGTTAGTGTTCCACTTAACGACTTAGTATCGAGTTCTGGATGCAGCAGTATTGCATAATGTCATAACGCACTTTATCGTATTAATTCATATTTGTATCATTTACATAATTTATATGCTACTAGAATGCCGAAGGAATATTAATAGGTGATAAAGATGTTTACATGAATAACCCATGTTCAGCGAATATTTGGTATGTAAAACTGTATTAAAAGGTTTACGCGTACGTAAAGTTCGATTAATGAATGTAAAGTAACTACCTCTTTAGAAATTTTGATAATGTATTAGTCGCCTTTACACTATTGTGCAATATAAAATTTTCTAATTTAATATTTCCATTTTTTGGATTGTCCATTATATTCGACAGGTTCGTAATTGAACTATGCGACCACCTCAAGATAGAATCAATCGAAATAGCCAATTTAGAATTGTTTTCATCTAGACCAGAGAGCTTTCGTGTGTCTATAAGTCAAAGGTAACCAGTAATATGGGTATAGTTCCTAAAAATTACGTAGAATAGTCGGTTGTGAAGTAGCTATTAAGATATTTATAACATAATGTATTCCTTGACGATAGAAATCCTACCCGTGAATGGAAAGTAATAGATACTTTTAAGGCCAAGTAAGAACAATGATATTAATGCGCTACAAAATATACATTATTTACCATTTACATATAATATATTTTTATACAGAGACGAAAGAAAGATTCAGAGTTTTGCGATGGATATAGACGACTTTGCAAGATTTGTTAAAGTTAGTAGCTATTCGGCAGTATACAGTATTAGAATGATGTCTTTTAGTTACCGACATAAATTGTTGTTTCAGGTTGAGATACTTTCAGTTTTTCGAGATGAACATTATTGCCCATTAACCTTTTTTCGTGTACTGGGAACTACCTGGGTTGACGATTTCGATGATTCTGAAACCGCTGATAATGATTTGGACGGGCAAGATACATCTATTAAAGTGAATTCATCTCAACAGATAGATAATTCCACAAATGAGAAATCTGACGGTATTAAAACACTAACCTTGGGCATGTGATAGCATTGATATAATCATATAACTTCGAAAGATGTGCATACACGTAATCTCAATAACCTAAATTTTTCTATAAATAGTAGTACAAGAGTCTAACAAAGGGAATAAATCTACAATTATGGGATTAGGCTTAGGTAAGTTGGTATTAATAGATGTTGTAATACAGAAGACTAGCAGAGTTTACGGTATTGTTGGTGTATTTGATGCCATTTTTACTATATTACTCGGTAGATGCTGTCATAACGATAGTTAAAAAAGTCGGTGAAGCGTTTACTAAACGTAGTAGAAATGAAACTACGAGTGATCATGCTATCGGAAATGATAATCATAACCTTACAGGTATGGTTGTATTACATATTAATGTAATCATCGTGTGATAATAATTCAAATTTCAACATGTATAAGGATACATAATGCTGTTAACTACCATTTCGTAATCGACTCTCTTAACTCAGTTCCGTTTTCATATCTATTTAGGATATTTCCCTAACTACGACATTTGCTACATGTACGTATATATATATATATATATTTATATGTATACATGTGCTGTATGCATTTAATAATCCCAGTATTATCATATAGCTGTTATTGATCATCATTTTTCTTGATATAGAAAAAATGAAACACTGAGTTTGTATTGGTATCTTATGGTAAAGTATAATCGTAAATTTATCGAAGCAATTGTAAATGCAACTTCGAAATCTAGTCAGAAAATATCTAATGAGAACGAAAAGAACAAATTAGGGGATTCCGGAAAAAAAATTACGGCAAACAGATACGTCAGTAATGATAAAAGTATTGAAGATGTTTCTATCCGAACATTCAATTTTATGCCATTCACAGAATATTGTCAATTTTTGGACTTGCCTTTTCGCGCTATTTTCGGCAGTTATGTTGAAGAAATTGCTTCAATATTTTACTTGCATCACTGTCTAAGTTGTTGTGTAATCATAAATGATCCATTGTATAATACATCTACGATCAAAAAATTCGATAAGTTATCTAATTTAATTCCAAACAAGCCTATAAATGAAGTCTCTTCAATCGATCTTTCTCCTCTTGCGCAATTGACGTATTCTATGAATTCAATTAATCAACCTTCTGAACTCGAGCTCAAGTCTGATACTGTTTCTACGCTAGAATTTGATAAATCGATTGAACTTATCATGCAAACAAATCTACCCATGCAAGAATCACAGCCAGTTATTAATATTCAATCAAGTAGAACAACGGTACAAGAACAAAGTGGCTCCGATTACTTGCTGTCTCCAGGAAGTAAGGCATCTGTTGTTAATAAAATGATATCTACGAGCGATGGCTTCGAAAATATAGATCACGAGTTCTCAACAGTATCTTCGATACTGCAACCAAGTGTTACTGTAGATAGCTCAGAATATAAATCTAAAGTTGCTAATGTCGATTCTAATAAGAGACGTGATGCAAGTGAATCGACATCTAACTCTAAAAATGAAACTACGCCATCATCAAATTTAACTTCGGTTGGTGGTTCTATCCAGTCCACGCTTGAAAAATTATTAAATGTTGACTTTGATTATGATTTAGATATCGATTTTAGTCCTTCAGAATCAGCAACAGTTCATAAGACTGGCGCTAATCGAGAATCAGTATTAACACGTCTTAATAACAGAATTAAGACTCTGGAAAAAAACTACAAATTGACAACTTTGTATTTGGAAGATTTTAGTAAAAAATTTGTCAAAAGATTGGATGACGTCCAGAAAGCATCTGATAAAAGAATGAATCTTCTAACTTCTCTGATTGAGCAAAATACTAAGTCAGTTCAATCATTAATGAATAGATTAAATCATTTAGAAATTAATTTAGAAGATATTACAAATGAAATAAGGTCAATTTCTGAAAAAAGCCATCATAAAGGATTTGGTGAAACCTCCGTTTGCTTATTGATCGAAATCATGTGTGTGTTGATTGTATTATGTTTCGTTTTCTCAAGCAAACAGAAGAGAAACAATACTAGACACTAAGTGTACGTTATTGTTTCTAATTTTGTGGTTGCTATAAGTATTTTAGGCTAATAATACAGATCGCAGGCTGTAATTGACAGTTTAATCTTTGAATGATCAAATCTTTCAAAATTTTGTTGCGATAGGATAGTTAGTATATTTAAACGATGTAGATTCCTACTCGTCAATAACTATCCCTTACGCGTACATGTATCATTTATCAGAATAGGAATATTCAGTAATTTTAGTCAACAATTTTATTATTAAATTATAAGCAAATTGAAAATCCAACAACTGCGACATAACATTTATTGATGATCAATGATCCATTTAATTCAATTGAAAAATTAAATTTGTAAATGCTCTATTATATTTGTATTGGTATTGGCACAGAACGATCCATCGTGAAAGTTTATGCCCTTATATGATAAAGTTACCGTAAGAATAATACCAAGCGATGAGATGCTTGGTGAATTTACTTTGGATTGACAATGTAAGACTTTAAATGAACACAAACCCAGACAAAGTCTGTATAAATTCTTAAACACTGATACACTTTGTACTGATGTCAAAAATTCATTTTGTTGACTTCAAGAGTAATAAATGAAACAATACCATTTAAATTAGATTTTTTTAATTCGCTTAAGTAAAGGCTAATAAAATAAATACTTACGCTGTGATTAATTTCATGAATTATACAAACACGATACTAAGAAGATAAGTGCTACGAACACAGGCCTATCAGCTTATTTCGTTTCAAAACTCTTCCTTTTACAACACAGCCAATTATTCGATTATTAACAAAATCAGCTTGTCTATACACTAATGCATATAATATCCTTCAGTTTATCAACAAGCAATGCTAATATAAGATGATTTTATAACATTCTACTATACAACGTCTAACATTTTTATCATTCCAACCTTAGTTATTAGAACTACAAATGGCATTATACAATACATTTGACGAAATATAATTTAGATTTGGATATTTTGTAGTTTTAGATATGTAATCTGAAATTTTTTATAATATAGTAGGTTTTAAGTATCCTTTAAATGATTTGATTTCGATGCCCAAATTGTACTTGTAGACAATAATAACATAACTGATTACAAAATAAGGAACCAGGAAATCCAGACTTCACGCTCTGCGTTGTGTAAAAGAGCTCCTATGGATAATAATGCTGATAAGTAATAAATTTAACAGTCTGCCAGTACAAACAATTTTAATCTGGGTTGTTATAGTTACTGCGGTGTACGAATACAAGGCCTATTTATCTGATATCTCGAATTATTTCAGTACTATGTAAATCTCATTACAAATCATTGGCAAGTATTCGTAAAGTACTCACTGACAGTAGTATTAGTAGTCATTAGTTATATTAATTGATTTTATTAATTTATACAACCCACTCCTAATTGCAATCTTGATGCCGGAAAACTTACGATTGAAAGTTTGGATTTTTTGCCGGCATTTGATTTTGATTTGAAAAGGAAGAAAACGATGGATTGTTATTATTGGCACCAAATGCTGTAGGTTGTGCAGCAAAACTACCAAATTGATTGTTGCCACCGAATCCTCCTTGGTTGCTGGTAAATGCCGAGTTAGTACCAGGGGGCTGGTTGGCATTAGAAAAGGAAGGTAAAGAACTTGACGCCCTATAAACGTTAATGTTAGTATATCAATTTTAATATATCAATTTTAATAATTAATTGTTGTAATCAAACTTTCACAATAATTATTCTCAATATATGGATAATCTTTACCCAAACACATAATCTTTCTGGACAGAAAAAGAATTTGGATTAAAACTCTGCGATGGTCCACTAAAAGTTGCCGTACTGCCGAATGTATTGGAGCCTGACAATAAATATTGATCATATAAAAATATATTACCAGATAACTAATATCAAATATATGGCTAATAGAAGGTAACTGAAATATTTTTGGCTTGTTAATAATGACATTATTCAAGAATAATGTGTTCCCACATTGTAATTCATTTTATTATTGGTCAGCAAAAGTAGGAGGATCTAGTAGTATCAGCTACTAACCTAATGCTTCCGATCTTAATTTATTAGCGAAACCCGTATTCGCAGGAGTGTTTTGATTACTCGTTGGTTGCTGAAATTGATTACTAACATTGGTAGCTAAGCATATTAGAAATTCAATTAGTTAAAAAACTTCTTTACAATACTTATGAATAAACGAAGAGAATACCAAAAGAGAATCCACTTGTCGGGCTATTGAAGGGTCCAGAAGCTGTTTCTGCGGTTGTTTGCGCCTTGACGCCCCCAAAAGGATTAGAAAAAGTAGATGTAGACTGCTGCGAAGGTTTTGAACCGAGACCGGCAAAGGTATTTTTAAAATCTACAAATAAAAATTAGTTAAGCTTGCGAATTATCAAGAACAAAATCTTACTATCATACCAGCGTTAACGCCTTCACTACCATCAACTTCCATATCAAAATCCATATCGCCAGTGCCCGTTTTTGGCCCTGTAGATGGCACAGTTGCCACCGCTGGTGTAGAAGTGCTTTCAGTAGTGCCGGGATGAGAGCCAAATAATCCTCCTTGCGAAAAGGTTACTTCGCTTTTGGAAACAGTATTGGGATTAGAAACAGTTCCTTGAGCTTGTGGAGATACTACCGTATTCGGCGATTTAAAGGAAGATGAAGTGGAATCAGAACTTGAAGGTTTCGTAGAAATCGGAGCAAAACTAATTCCTGTCGTTGAGGTAGGATTGCTGAATTGACTCGAAGTAGCATCTAAACAAGAGATATTGTCATGATTACTAATGATCTTTAGAGGAAAATTTTCTATAGTTAAAGTATACAACTTGCAAACAGTGCCTACTACTATATTGTCTAGTATCGCGGCTTAGAGTACAGCCACGATTTATGTGTATGTTTCCAATTTTGATGTGACGACTACATAAACATTAAGCTTTCTCATCCACTTTTAAATTAAAGTATTCATTACAAGAATTAGCTTCAGCTTACCTTTAGTAGATACAGTAACGCTCGCCAATGTTGGATTTATTGGTAGTACATTTTCATGAGTAGCTGTAGTACCAGTGCCTTTAGCAGAATTTAGCGATACGGATGGCGTAACAGAAGCTGTTGCAAGCGTCGCTGTGGTCGCTAATGATAAACTCTTTGAAGTAGTTTGTAGCATTGGAGGACTATTTGCAGCAACATTAGAATTTACCGAAGAAATACTACTAATACTAATCTCCTTCCCGGAAGTGACATTTGTTTCTGCTTTAGTACTTAGAGGGGATTGTATGGCTTCAGGGGCATTTTTATTTTTCTCAGTGACATCATCTGACTTTAATTCATCAGGATTAGAAGATAAGGATATCGCAGTAAAATTTGTAGTTGAACTTTGCGTGACAGTGTTATCATCTTTGTTGGTACTCTGATGGGGTTTAGCTGTTTTAAATTGAAAGTTTAATGTTCCAGTTGTAGTAGAAGCACAAGTTGATGGCACCGTCGATGTTGGAAAGTCTGCACCAGAACCCAACGAAAATTTAAAAGCAGAGCTAGAGGTTACCGGGTTATTCACTGTTTTATTTTCATTTTCAGATACTTGTAGTTCTGTTTTATTTGTTTCCTTAATCATATTAGAATCAAAGTTTACAGTTGCTTTACTACTTGACTGAGATACTTGTGTTGTGTTGGCAGAACCAAAACCAAAAGTGAATTTAGGAGTTGCAGTATTATTAGAAGATTTTGACGTAGGATTTGTACTGGGAAGAAATTTTGATTGTCCATAAACTGTTCCAGCAGTTTCTTTGGATGCGAAATTGAATTGAGGTTTGGGCGGTGATATTGAGTTATCAGTAAATTGTGTTGTAGGATTTTTAGAGAAACTAAATGTAGAGTGCATTACTGAGGTCGAAGCTGGTTCAGCGGAAGTCGTCTGGATATTAAATTTGGGAATCGATGTTGTGGTCGAAGGAGAAGTTACCTTGGAAGTGACACCAAAGTTAAAGCTTGATAAAGAAGGTTGCTTATGTTGACCGACCACGTCGGATGAAGAAGTTAAATCAGAGTTACTTTTAGCTACAAGTCCAGGTGCATTCTCTCCGAAGGACATTGAAGGAATATTTGACGACATAGTTCTGGCTGCTGAGGTTTTCTCTGTACTTTCCTGAGATATAAAATTTTTTCCTAGTCGGGCCGCTGCCGCACTGGCAAGGATCTGACTTCCACTATTTTCTAAGCTTTTAATTTCAGTTTTTAGACTTATGCCATCTTCAATTTCTTTAATAAAAAAATTTGGAGTAAGATGAAATAAGCTTAGAAATTTGGAGATACACATTGAACGAACCTTTTCTTGACTCGATATTTTTCTTAAAAGATAAGGCGGGCTCCGGTTCGGAGGAAAATGAGATTGAGTCATTCCCTTTCAGGATATACGTACTGTCAATTGCAGAGTCTTGTTTGTTACTATCATAACATACTTCAGTTTGAATACCAACACTCGACGTTTTGATATTAGCACTTTTGGTACTTTCATAGCGCTGATACCGCTTATCTTCTAATTCAACCGACTCTAGGTAGTTCAAGGGAATACGACTGGTGGTAAATGTAGCTACATTTACAATGAAAAAGACATAATGAGAGTATGTAGAATGATTTAATGACAACTAGTATGAATGACAATGAGCAACCTTTCACGTTTGTATGAAATAGTAACTGCCCGCCAATATCTTCTTTCAATTTATTCTGTTTATCGGTAGATAATCCACCTTAAGACAGACAGATAAAAAGCATTACACATACCGTTACCATAGATACAGAATATGCTATTACCTTTTGTCAAAGCTTAATACATTCTTCGTCAGCTTACGAAAAAAATGTTTAGAGATACCTGTTAGTTGTGGTAAACCGTCATCTAATTTTTGCCTAGCAAGCCTATCCTTTAAAGCTTCAATATCTACTTGGCTAAAGGATTTAGAGAAATTTTACTAGGATTAGCATATTTAATCGACACTAAAAAGTGAAGGCTTCAT